CCCTGGTTGGGGAACTAAGATCCTGCATGCCACGCAGTGCAGCCAAAAAAAAAAAAAAGAGAGAGAGAAACCCTGTTTTTAAACCGAACTTCATATACATTTCTAAATTTTTGTGTGTGTGTTTTTGTTTTTAAATATTGTATTTCAAAGAGTCTAACCTCTACACTAGATTTTTAATCTTTGTTTTTCAGTATGTGATATAGATTTTTGACATTTAAGAATCCAATATTCAGTTNTCTTTCACTTTCATCAAGAGGCTCTTTAGTTCTTCTTTGCTTTCTGCCATAAGGGTGGTGTCATCTGCATATCTGAGGTTATTGATATTCCTCCCTGCACATTACCATATGTAAAATAGATGACCCATGTGAGTTTGGTGTATGATGCTGGACACCCAAAGCCAGTGCTCTGGGACAACCTAGACGGATAGGGTGGGGAGGGAGGTGGGAGGGGGGTTCAGGAAGGAGGAGACATATGTATGCCTATTCATACATGATTCAAACTGATGTATGACAAAACCCATCACAATATTGTAAAGTAATTATCCTCCAATTAAAATATATAAATAACTTTTTAAAAAAGAGAGACAGAAGTAGAGCCAGGCTCAAGTTAAAGGTGACGGACAGATTGAACTCAGAACTGTCACAGTATGGGAGAAAAACCATGGTACAGAGCTAAGCTCAGTTCCAAAGACAGCAAAGGCAGCTGGGGATTCAGAGCGCATAGGCAGAGTGAGGGTCAGTGGATGGGAAGTGACCAGGAGGAGCCATCAGGCTGGGGGACTCCTGCCAGCCTAGCCTAACAGGACCCTGGCTATCAGGTTCAACTATCAACGATAGGGGGAATTCTGTAAGCAGACTTAACAGTATTCTTCCTAAAACCTGGGCTGGGCAGGCCAAAGACAGGGCCTAAGGACAAGGCCTAGTCAAAGAGAGAGCTCAGAGGAGCCCATCCAGAGTTTGGTCCAGGAGCAGGTATTCCTTGTCCCTTCCCAGCAAACGCAAGCACAGGGCACGGTGAGACCACGGTGAGACTCTGTTGACCATGGAGCGAGTCATCCCACCTTCTGCGTGACTTCCAGGAGCCAGAGAATTTGGCTGGAACTGAAGACAAGTCCGTGGCAAAGAATGTGGGTGTGAGACACACAGGAACTCCGAGGATGGGGTGTGTTGTGTTTTCAGTGTTCTGTCCTCACGCCTGTGTCTACAAGGAGATGGTCTTCAGTCACCGCACAGAGTCCAAGAAGAGATGACCCAATTGTCCCCAGGCAGCGACAAGGCAGTGCCTGTCCACCCCTCCCCTCCCACGGTGTGAATCACATGGCACCTAGGCCCCCTGCCCCAGCCACTAACCCAGAGCCCCCGGGGCCTGGGCAGCGATGGGGCTCCATCATTAGCGGTGTCTGAGTGGGGTTAATGGGGGACAAGCATCTCTCCTGTGAGCTCGTGCAGAAAGCCAGGAGCAGGTCCGGAACATTCTTCCTCCTTCTGCCCCGCTCTCCTGTCCTCACCTCACATCACCAGCCCCAGAATCCTACTTCCCTAAAACATCTCTCTGCGTTTGAACTAGTCTGACCTGTTTCTGCCTGCCAGCTGGCCCGCCATGGAAACAGCAGAGACCTTGATGCGGTGGGATAAACCTGCAAAAGTCTCGATAAACACAACACCAGCAGACGGCTAATGTCTGCATAGAAACCCAGGGGCACTGATTTCCAGCTATGGCCTCTGCCCACCGGATTCCCCACAGTCTGCCCTGAACAGCATCCCCAGGAGAAAATGTAGGCTGGATAAGGAAACACTGGCTGTTGAGATAGACAGGCTCTCTGTCTGACCCCGGCTTTGCAACAACAGTGGACTCTGTGACCTTCAGCTCTTGGCGTCTCTTTCCCCATCTGTGCAGTGGGAGTAAACAGACCTGGGCCATCTCCCCAGGTTCTGCAAAGGCTCAGATGAGATCATGCCTGGGAGGTGCAAAGGAAACCCTAAAGGGCCACCCCCAGGGCAAGAAAAGCATCCCCTGCACCCCACTTTCCAGCTCCCTCTCCCAGAGTCACTCATACACACACCTGGGCAAAATGCTGGTGTCCACCTGCTGTGGCCTGTGTTTGTGGGTTGTGCTCTTTCCTCTGTGTCTGCTTGGCTGGCAGCGTCTCTCCCAGTGCTGATGTGGGGGTCCTAGGACGCTCCGGCCTCCGGGCAGCTCTTGGCTCCTAGTGGCCAGTGATGCCAGTCTCACTCCCGTGCAGCACCCACTGTGGCGTCCTGGGGGGATCATTTAAAAAACATTTTTGTATTTGCTTCTTTGGCTGTGCTGGGTCTTAGTTGTGGTACATGGGATCTTTAGTTATAGCATGGGAACTCTTAGTTGCAGTAGATGGGATCGAGTTCCCTGAGCAGGGGTAGAACCCTGGCCCCCTGCGTTGGGAGCATGGAATCTTAGCCACTGGACCGACCCCCAAGGGAAGTTGCTCTCCTAGGGGTATCTTGAGGAAGTTATTGCAGAGGTTCCTGCACCTTTGCAGCAAAGTGGCTTCCATCCGAACTATAGTGGTCGCCCCGATCCATGACTGATTTCACTTTTCATGTTCCCATTACCCAAGGTCAACCACAGTCTGAAAATATTAAATTTTGGAAATTCCAGAAATTGACAATTCATAAGCTTTCAGTTGTGTACCGTTCTGATCAGTGTGATGAAATCTCTCACCATCCAGTTCTGTCCTGCCCAGGAGGCGGATCACCCTCTTTCTCCTGCACATCCTGCCCGTTGGTCTCCTAGTGGCCATCTCAGTTATCAGACTGTCTTGGCATCGCACTGCTTGTGTTCAAGTGACTCTTATTCTACTTAATACTGTCCCTGAAGTGCAAGAGTAGTAATACTGGAAATGTGAATTTGCCAAAGGGAAGCCTTAACGTGTTGCTTCTTTTTGACCATGCCATGTGGCATGTGCAATCTTAGTTCCCCAGACCAGGGATCGAACCTGTGCTCCCAGCAGTGGAAGTGCAAAGTCTTAACCACTAGACCACCAAGGAAGTCCCTTAAGGTGCTTCTTTTAAGTGAAGAGGTGAAACTTAATAGAAATCTTAATAAAAATAATGAAACTTTAAAAAAAGTCATATACTAAGGTTGCTAACATCTACAGCAAGAGCAAATCTTCTCCTGAAATTGTGAAGAAGGGAAAAGAAATTTGTACTGGTTTTGCTGTCAAACCTGAAACTGCTCAAGTTATAGCTTCAGTGCATGAGAAGTAAGTGCTCAGTTAAGATGGCAAATACATTCACTTTGTACAGTAAAATATTTTGAGACAGTGACTCATATAACTTGTATTACGATACACTGTATTATTGTTCTATTTTACTTTTCATATCATTAATCTCTCACTGTGTCTAATTAAACTTAATCATAGGTATGTAGGGATAAACAGCATATATATGTAGTTTGATACTATGTGTGGTTTCAGGATATCTGCTGGGGGGGTTCTTAAATGTACCCCTCATGGACAGCAGGTTGACTGTGTTTGCTGAGTGAGCCTAGATAAGTGGGGTTCCATTTCCTCACCTGAAATGAGGACTAGGTGGTCTTGTTTTTTTTCTTGGCTACGCCAAGTTTTAGTTGTGGCATGCGGGATCTAGTTCCCTGACCAGGGATCAAACCCGGGCCCCCTGCACTGGGTGTGCAGGGTCCCAGCCACTGGACCCCCAGGGAAGTCCCGAGTAGGTGGTCTTGAAAGCCCCTCTCAGTTCCTGGAAGCCTGTGATTCTGGCTCATGTTTCCACATATCAAAGTCTCTGTCCTGCTCAAGTGTTCCCCTCAGCTGGGGGCGGCCGCAGCCCCCTGTGGGCATCAGTGCTGACGGCTGAATTCTGACTCTCCCACCCCACCCTCAGCAGCCCCTTTGTGTGATGATGAATGCAAAAAACGTGCGTCCCCTTCTCACTGTGGTGTGGCTGTTACCTTCTCAGATTGTGCATGAGGGCACAGGCGTCAGCTGGCTCACAGCCTCCAGGTCAATCCAGGAGGAGCTGGTCCTCGAATCTCACATCTCCAACTGTTACTAGATCCGATTGGTGCGTGCCAGGACCAGGCTCACCCTTTCCTGCCCCCACCCCGAGCTCTGGTCCATCCAGCCACCCAGCAACTAGTGGTGGGGGGCGGGGGGCTCCCAGTCAGACAACCCCGCAGGCTCTCTGGCTTGGAGGGGGGAAAGTTGTGGAGGGAAAAGATTAGCTCCACCGTTCTGCGAGACTCATCCTTCCCATGGTGGTTTTTGGGCAAAATAGGCCTGGAGAGGTGGCCTGCGGTGGTCACCGTGGCAGGACAAAGCTCCGCTTTCACCCGGCCTGGCTCCTTCTCTGACTTAGGAAAGACAGCAAATCCCAACAGGCGATGAGCTCATGTCCTCGCTCTCTGCCGTGTTGACCTTGGCCGAGGTGTAACTGTCTCCTGACACCCCCACCCCCACAGCCAGCCATGAGGAGCAGCAGAAGGAACTGCCAGGACCAGGCTCACCCTTTCCTGCCCCCACCCCGAGCTCTGGTCCATCCAGCCACCCAGCAACTAGTGGTGGGGGGCGGGGGGCTCCCAGTCAGACAACCCCGCAGGCTCTCTGGCTTGGAGGGGGGAAAGTTGTGGAGGGAAAAGATTAGCTCCACCGTTCTGCGAGACTCATCCTTCCCATGGTGGTTTTTGGGCAAAATAGGCCTGGAGAGGTGGCCTGCGGTGGTCACCGTGGCAGGACAAAGCTCCACTTTCACCCGGCCTGGCTCCTTCTCTGACTTAGGAAAGACAGCAAATCCCAACAGGAGATGAGCTCATGTCCTCGCTCTCTGCCGTGTTGACCTTGGCCGAGGTGTAACTGTCTCCTGACACCCCCACCCCCACAGCCAGCCATGAGGAGCAGCAGAAGGAACGCCATTCCCTCGGTTCTCCCGCCCTGAGTCTCACGGATGTATGTGGCCTTCGGGTCGTACTGACCTTGTTCCTCTCTTCCTCTTTCCCCTCCTCAGGGTACGGCAGCTGGAGGGAGCTGGCCAAGGCTCTGGCCAGCAGAAACATTCCGGCCGTGGACCCGAATCTGCAGTTCTACCGTCCCCAGAGGCTGGGCCCCAAGGTAGGTGGCAGGGTCAGCCGTCCTCTTGCTGCTGCCTTAACTCCAGTACCCCCCCACGCCCACCCACATAGCCTTGAGGGCATCCTCCGCTTTCCCATGTTAGGAGAGGCAGAGATGAGGGACGCCTTGGATGGCAGACTGGCGTTCCCAGCTCTCCTACCTTGTGGGTAGAGATATCCATCCTGCTTTCCCTCCTCAAAGCCTATGTCATGTCTTCAAGATGCCCAAGTCTGAGCTGTCCATGGATGTGGCCTCCATCTCTGCAAGAGCAGGGGCTGGAGGAAGGACCAGCACGTCTCGCCTCCTGCTGGGATGACCAGGCTGGTCCTCCAGTCACTATCCCGGATACTGGCAGCCAAGAGTCACAGATAATGCAGTAGACAGACACCCCTCCCTGCAAATAGCTGCAAATAATGGAGCATTTTCCTGATAGCATTTACTGGGCTGCTGGTCCCTAGAAGCAGCTCTGGGTGGGGGTTCGGGAACTCGAGGCCAGTTCTGCCTGGAGCCCTAAGATTGAACTTCCGAGCCTAGAAGAAACACTGCCCCCAAGGCTGGACCACAGCCTAACTGAGCCTGTGGGCCTGCAGGGTAGGGAAGAGTTGGGGTGTCTCCAGGGGGACAAATGTTAGGATAAATGAGTTGCACCCTAAGCAGGTGTAGAGGAAGAGGGAGGCAGGGTCCCTGTCCTCAGGAGAGCCTGGTCTGATTAGAAAAAAATAATTTTGGTATGGGAAGACTGAGAAAAGTCAGGAAAGCAGAAACATCCCAGGAATATACATTGGAGGCGTGTTGGTGGGGGCCGGAGTGTGGACCAGAAAAAGGAATGTCCTTAAGTTGACAAGCTTCTGATGGCAGAACTGTGTCTCTTGAACCCTTTGCATCTCCTCAGGCACGTTTAAGGGGCCCCGGTCCTATCGCCCCCTTCATATTTCCACCAAGTTCATTCTTCTCTTTTCTGCCAGGACCCAGGCTCAGCGCGTGGTGGGAGTGGAAACAGCAGCTACCTGAAGTGGAATAAGCCGGTGCCCTGGCTCTCAGAGGTGAGGCTGCTCCTTGAAAGGCAGGGTTAAAAAAATAGTGTTGATATTAGTAGGAAACTCCAGAGGCCACAGAGCATTGTATTCTAGTGGTTATTATTAAAGTTTTTCATCTAGGGGCTTCCGTGGTGGTCCAGTGGTGTTAAGACTCTGCACTTCCACTGCACGGGGTTTGGGTTCAATCCCTGGTTGGGGAACTAAGATCCCACATGCTGCTCAGTGTGGCCCCCCCAAATTTTTTTTCATCTAATTTGAAGAAAAAAGTTAGAGTTCCAGGCTCACTGAATTTTCTTCCTTAACTAACATAGAGAAGTGCTAACATTTACAGGGGGGCTTCCCAGGTGGCTCAGTGGTAAAGAAGCCACCTGTCAATGCAGGGGGTTCAATCCCTGGGTTGGGAAGATTCCCCTGGAATCCACTCCAGTATTCTCGCTGGGAAATCCTGTGGACAGAGGAACCTGGTGGGCTACAGTCCCTGGGGTCACAAAGAGTGGTACATGAGTGAGCAACCAAGCACAAATAGTGTGCCAGGCTTTGTGTGTAACCTGTCAGCTTTATGACCCTGTAGGTTAGCATCGTGTCCTCATTTTATGGGTGAGAAAAGTAAAGCTCAAGGAAGCTATGGGACATTCATGTCTATTCCAGTCCCCAGTCATAAAATTCGACTGCCCAAACTGTCTTTCTTGGACCATTAAGTCCCATAAGATATTCAGATATTAAGTCAGAAAGGAATCCATTGTGAAATATGGTTTAACATCTATAGACATCCACTTCCTGAAAATACATGTTAGCACATGAAAGATGCTGAGTTCTGTCATCCTCTATTTGACTTGGTTTCTCCCAACACATACCAAACTTATTCACCTCCCGAACTGCCTTTTTCCATTAAACTTTAGTGCTCTATGAAACCAGTGCTCTGAGGGACTATATACTAGGAAACTCTTGCTTTAGAAAATTTTTATAGGAAGCTGTCAAACATGTGAATAAAAATTGTCATAACCATCATGACACCTTTTGTTTATGTTGGACTGGACAGATTCTTTTTCTCTTGGTATAGAAACAGAGGCTTGGAGGTTTATTACAGACAACAAGATTACCTGGAGCAAATGCTTGTGCAGACATTCCAGAGCAGCATGGTGATTTGGGGGTGAACATTTTAAATTTGGGCGTCGGACCATGCAACTTGTCCAGGCCTTTCTTGGCCGGGTGGTGGCGGCCAGCCAGTTGTCTTCATCCACACCTATCACGGGTTGGTCTCTACTGCCTGGGTGATTTCATTTCTAGTCCACCCATTTGCTGTGGGGCGAGAGTGAAGGAGGTGGTTTCATGCAAAATATGATGGTAGGTTATCTACCGTGAAATTGCCTCTGGTTAAATCCTGAGAGAGAGTGGATTACATCACTGGCACACCTGTACCAGGTGACATCATTGGGTAATTAGGCCCCACCCCACCTGGAGATAGTATTGTGAAAACCATTGGTCCAGCGATTCGGTCTTCTCTCCTTTGAGGCCAGTCTGGATTATTTTTCTTACTGAACCAATTATTTTGAAAGATTGTAACTACATCATAGTCTGCATTTATTAATCATTAATTTTCCCACTTTTCTTGGCCAGTCAAGGAAGGAGACATATATGAATTGCTTGTGTGCAGTGTCCAACTCTTTATGACCCCATGGTCTATAGCCTGCCAGGCTCATCTATCCATGGGATTTTCTAGGCAAAAATACTGGAGTGGGTTGCCATTTCCTCCTCCAGGGGATCTTCCCAATCCAGTGATCGAATCCCCATCTCTCGCATTGTAGGCAGATTCTTTATCACTGAGCCATCAGGGAAACTCCAGAGATATATCTATATATATCTCAATGAAAACAGTAACAAATAGTAAATAGTAACTAAAATGTGATTAACTTTTAAAAGAAATAGTTGATCTTTTAGTAAGTTTGTTTAGCCTTTTGGTGGTAAATGACTGATTTCCATTGGCTTTTGTATTTTATTATTAAAAGTGGCTTTTTACAGTGAATTCCCTGGCAGTCCAGTGGTCAGGACTCTATGCTCTCACTGTCAAGGGCCAGGATTCAGTCCCTGGTTGGGGAACTAAGATCCTACAAGCCACGCAAAGCAGTCAAAAAAAAAGAAGAGGAAGAAAAGAAAGTGGCTTATAAAATCCTCATCACAACCCTCATGAATCTTCAGGGAATCACCAATCCAGTCTTTTCATTTCACCAATGAGGGCACTTAGGTCCTGACAATTTAGATGGCTCACATATGCAGTCAGCCAGCTGCGGTGGTACCCTCTCCTCCAGCCCTTCGTGGGGACTTCTATTCCTTCTCCTTACCTGTCTCCTGCATTTGGACCTACAGTTTCAGCAGAAAGGGCTTTATTGAGCATCTGCTAGCTGTTGGCGGCTGTCAGCTTGCACTATTATCACCCCTTTCTGGGCAATGGCTTCCAAAGAGGTTGACCAGTCACTCCCCAAGGTGGCATAGCTCCTGCAAACCTGCCCTGTGGGTGAGCAAGGACAGAACACGGGAAGGCTGCCCGTGGTCTCTTCTTTGACGAGCTCCCATCCCCAGCCTTCAGCTGGCAGCTCAGAGTCTCAGAGGCCAGAAGTGGCTCTCGAGTGCAGCAGGCTTAGTCATTGCTCTGCTGTTCGGATGAGGAGTGGTCGGCTGGCAGGCTGGGCTTCGTGAGGTAACTGCCCTCAGAAACCGTCTCTGTCAGCCCAAATTATGAGACTCTGACTAGCAAACCCCACTAATTAACAAACCTCAATGGCAGTGCGTTCACTTACTGTCGGTATTCGGTCCACTGACCGAACACTGTCTGCTACTCTGCTCCCCCTACAAAGCCAACGTCGTTACAGGAAAGAAATGTGGTGGATACGGAGTCAGATCAAAGCAAGTTGGAGTCCAAGGGTCATGTCGCGTCGGCTCGGTGACTTGGTGTCTCTCCTGAGGGCTGGGATCCTGACTTCCCTTCTCAGGCTCCACCCCCCCATCTTTTGTCCTCTAACAGTTTTATTGAGATATAGTTCATATACCATATAATTCATAATTTTAAAAATGTGTATTTAATGTCAGTGCTGGGTCTTAGCTGCAGCACTACGGCTTAGTTGCTCCAATTGCATGTGGGATGTTGGTTTTCCAACCAGGGATTGAACCCAGGTCCCCTGCATTGGAAGGCAAATTCTTAACCTCTGGACCACCAGGGAAGTCCCTATAATTCACCCAATTAATGTGTACAATTCAATAACATTTAGTATATCCATAGAGTTGTCATCCGTAACTATCAATTTAGTATTAATCGGTTTTCGTTACCACTAAGGGAAACCCCTCACCTGATAGCCTCACTACCCCCAGTCCCCAGCTCCCAGGAAATGCTAGTCTAATCTGTCTCTCTGGATCTGCCGTTCAGATAGACTCTATATGAAGACTCTCGTCATATAGGGAGACTTGTACTATACGTGGCCATTTTGTCTGACTTCTCTCACTTAGCATTACATTTTCAAGGCCCATCCATGTGGCAGCGTTTGTATCAGAACTTAGTTCCTTTTTCTGGCTGAGTAATCTTCCATTGTGTGGATGGACCTCATTATCTTATCCTCGGAAATAGGTGTTTGGGCAGTTTCTGCTTTCAGCTCTTGGGAGTAATGCTGCTGTAGACATTTGTGTGCAGATCAGACCTGCCTTTTTTCAGGGCCCTGAACCACCACCGTCATACACGTGGTCACCATGGGAGACACAAGTGACATCCCAGTTCAGTTACAGAGCATCTATTCAAATGGGGATAATGTCCCCCACTAGGATTTCACCAGATGGGGCTCTGGTCCCTTCTTCCATCTAGAGCAGTCTCTTATCCTCATAGATAAGAGGTGGGAGCCCCTTGATTCCCAAGGGGAGCTCACTTGAGGGGCAGGTGTGAGCAGGAATCAAGGGGCTGTAGAGACTCTAAACAGGAGTCCGGAGTGCAGGCCTCGTTGTCCTATTGGGTGGAGGTCACATGGTCCTGCCAGGTGTGCTGGTCTTGTAAGCGTGAATCTGGCTAAGCAGCAGCCTGGTCCATGCTCACACCGGTGCTGGGCTGCCCCACCGCCCCCGGGGGGGTGGACCACCTTCACGCCCTCTGCATCTCAGCCTCTGCAGTAACCCTGGCACAGGCGGCTCGTACTTCCGCATATCTCCTCCTCCAGGGACCCCTTTCCATCTTTGCATCAACACTGGTACAAACATCTCTAGTGCTTATAGGATAAATGAAGCCATAAATATGGCTCCAGGTTTAGCTTCTCTGAGCACTTGTTCCCTTGGATAATTAAGATGTGCAAGGAACCCCAAGGAGGGAGCCGTAACTCTGCCTGGAGAAATTGTAGATGCCTAGAGAGAGATTTGAAAAGAGCCTTAAAGGATGAACTGGAATTTGCTGGGTGGGGAAGAAAGGAAAAGGCCTTCCAACCAGGAAACTGTCTGCAAAGGCAAAGAGGAGTGTGTGTGGTTGGAGGGAGAGGGGTGAGGCGAGGCGGGGAAGACAGGTTTTGTCCAGAAGCTTCTGGGAACTGTCAGAAGCGGCAGAGTGGCATGGTCACATCGGTCTCTAGAAACTTTTTTTTCAGTTTTTATTTATTTGGCTGCACCAGGTCTCAGCTGCAGCACGCTGGGTCTTAGATCTTTGCAGCCTGCAGGATCTTTAGTAACAGGATGCAAACTCTTACTTGTGGTGGAGTCTTAGCCACTAGACTGTGAGGCAAGTCCCTGGATCTGTCTTGGATCTGTCTTAAGAAAAACAGTTCTGCAGGCTTTGTGAGGAAATCAGTGATGGGAGACACCTCCACCCTGCTGGGAGGCTCTGTGAGCCCAGTGCGGCCTGGCAGAGGCCCTGTCGTGGTAGAAGGCCGTGGACATTCCTGGGTGAGCACCCACAGGCTGTGTGTACACCCCTCGATGCCCTCCCATTTCCACAGGGTTCATTGCTGTGTGTCCTTGGGCTGTCGGTTTACCTCTCTGGGCTTTAATAGTGTCAACCCTGAAAGGAAAAGGTTCAACAGGTATTTTCTCCGCTGCTTGTGACTGGACGTTTCAAGTCCGTCTTTGGCCATGGATATGCTCTTCCCTGGGCCTTAACCCTGCTGGACGGTGAGAAGGGGGCAAAGGGCAGTGCTGACCAGCCTGAGTCCTACATCCCTGCCCGACACGACGTCTCCAAAGCGTAGAGGGACACAAACCAAGGTGGGGTCACCATCAAGGCCTGGGGAGGAAGAGGGTGCTGACTAGTCCCTCGGGGGACCCCCGCCCAGAGCCCAGGAGGGGTGAGGGTTAGCTAGAGGGTGGGCTCAGGACTGAGTCAGGGCTTTACCCCCGGGATGTGGACAGTTCCGTCCACCCGCCTGGGTTTCCCCTGTGGCTCAGGCCACGAGGGGTAGGTGGGTGCAGCCAGTTCCCCCCTCCCTCATCCTTCCCTTGTCCCAGCCCCTGTGGCCTCTGGCCCCCTGGCTGAACAAGGAGACTTCCGGGGGTGTCCCCCCACCCTTGGTTTTCTGTGGACGCGAGTCTCCGGGGGAGGGGCAAGGAGGGGGGGCGGCTTGGAGGAGACAACTGAGTCTTGTAAACCGGACTCAGGAATTTCCCCAGAAGTGGCACAATGTCCCCATTCTTTCCTTCCAAGCAGCCCCAGGCCGCCCCCAACCTACGAGGCACGCATTCTCTCTCCCACCCACCCCAGCCCCCCACTCACATTCCAGGGAGCGATGGCTGCTCCCCAAGGTCCCCAGGCCACCGAGCCCAAGAAGAGCCAAGTTCTGAGGGGATGGGATGACAGGCTCTCCAAGTGGGGTTGGGGGACCCCTCCAGCTGCACCTCAGGTCTTGGCAGTCCCATCAGGTTGGGGGGGGTGCTCTGCCCGGTCCCTTCTCTCTCCCCCACCACCATCCCTCCCTCCAGAGCTCTTGCTGAAGGCCTTCTATGTGGGAAGGCCTTCCAGTTCTGGCACCCCCTCCTCTGTCTCCCTAAGGCTACTGGGATTTGGTATCTGATACAAGGAAGAGAGGGCCTGTTCGTGTGGCCTGATGGGGTTCACCTCCTGTACTCTAGAGCTGGGGGGCATGGGGAGAGGGGAAGAGTAAGATGGGGTCACCCGAAGCGCTGTGTCCAGATGACTCGGGATAGGTCCCCCCTCCCGCCCCTCCCCTGCTCCATGCCCTTCCACCCACTGGGGTCCTGGCTTCCCGCCCGTCCCCTCTCCCCCCAGGGTCCCTGTGCCCACCAGCCCCCAGCCGAGGAGGGGAGGGGACCTGCTTGCTCCTACTTTCCCTTGGCTGCCCCTGAGCCCCAGGCACCTGGGCGGTGGTCCATGAGAGGCTCTGACTCTCGGGAGAGAGCCAGCCGCAGGACCCTCTGCCAGCTGAGGGGGCAGCTCGAAGACCAGGGAGGTGAGGTTTCACCCAGGCCAGACAGCCACGTGGCTTTCCTCTTTGGAGACTGAAGGCGTGCGTGTGTGCTAAGTCGCTTCGGTCGTGTCTGACTCTTTGCGACCCCATGGACTGTAGCCCACCAGGCTCCTCTGTCCATTGGGTTCTCCAGGCAAGAGTACTGGAGTGGGTTGCCATGCCCTCCTCCATGAGACTGAAGGGAAGGGGGGGCCAAACTGGCTGAAACCCAGCCTGGTGCCTCCCACCTGCCACTCTGTCCTGCCCGTAATTCCCCCTGCCTGGGGGATGCAGACCAGCCCCCTTCCTGTGTGGGAAGAGCCCGGAGTGTGTGTGTGTGTGTGTGTGTGTGTGTGTGTATGCATGCATGTGTGCATCTGCGTGTGAACACGTGCAAGGCCAGATAAAGAGACCCAGGCTTCAGGGCCAGGCCACGCAGCCGTGGGGCCAAGGATGCGAAAGGGGCCAACGCGGACCGTGACCTGGAACAGTGAGGTGCGCTGGCCTGGGCGGGCCAGGCCTCTGTCTCACACTCGCTCCGCCCCATCCCCACAGTTCCGCGGCCGCGTCAACCTGCACGTGTTTGAGGACTGGTGCGGCAGCTCCATCCAGCAGCTGCGGAGGAACCTCCACTTCCCCCTGTACCCCCACGTGAGTGCCTCCCCCCCCCTCCTGCCCGGCTCCTGGCTCTCACCACTCCTCTCCCCCCGCAACTTCCTCCTTCCTCCTCTTCCCTTGCTTTTTCTGGTTCACTTCCTTTCCTTTATCCCATGGACGCCCTTCGTCTGCCCACACTATCTCCCTTGTTCCCTCCTGAGAGATCCTGTCCATTTCCCTACCTTCCTCATGGCTCAAAATACAGTTTCCCCAGGGGCCACCACATCCAGTTGTGAGGTTGTGCACTGTTCAAGGTCTGGATAAAGTAGCACATGGGAACCTGTACCCGGGTTTCACCTGCCTCACTCCCTCCCTGTCCTTCCGTCAGCCCTGAGCAGACCCGTCGCTTCACTTTCCTCTTCCCTCCCTGGGTAACGATCCCCCAATTTCCTGGCATAGATCCGCACAACCCTAAGGAAGCTGGCCGTGTCTCCCAAGTGGACCAACTACGGCCTCCGCATCTTTGGCTACCTGCACCCCTTCATGGACGGTGAGGCCGCCCCACATCCTGCTGAAGTTCTCAGGGTACCTGGGCATGTCACCTGCCCTGGGCTGGCTGGCTGGACCGTTAGCCCACTTTCAGGGGAGCAGGGTTTGGACATGGTAAGGCCTCATGCATGCCCCTAGGTGGCCACTTCACACACACCTTGATTTGCAGGGTCCAAAACTAGCTTATCCCTCTCATGCCCTATCCATGGAGTCTCCCAGGTGTAGAAACCCCCGCTTTACAAAGCGGGCAGGCTGGCACAAGACCCCACAGAGAATTTAGTCTTTGAGATGTGAGTGTCCGCTAGGGGAAGTTTCGTCCTGCCCTCACCTGGGAAATCACCCCCCATGCCCAGGGGAGATCCAGTTTGCCATCGCTGCTGACGACAACGCAGAATTCTGGCTGAGCCGGGACGACCAGGTCTCCGGCCTGCAGCTGCTGGCCAGCGTGGGCAAGGTAGGGTCCGCTCAGCCCCACAGGCCCTCCCATCCCCCCAGGAGCCAGGTCACCTGCCTCCATCAGGACACTCTTACAGAGGGATGGACGGGATATGGGCAGGAACAGACCTGGAGAAGAATCAGGTCTAGGTCACACCTGTCCTGGTCCTGGTGCCGAGGATTCGTGTGGCTTCTCAGGTTGCATTGGAGGGAACACTTCAAGGAAAGCCGGCTGCTTCTCGGGTGGTCCCGAGCCCCCTCCCATCCCTCAGCATCTCCGCCCCCCCCCATCTCCCTCCTTTCTCCTTGTCTCCTCACTCATCACTCCCACCCTGCCTCTCTCCCCACATCTCCAGACTGGAAAAGAGTGGACTGCCCCTGGAGAGTTTGGAAAATTCCGGAGTCAGGTTTCTAAGCCGGTCAGGTGAGTATGGGTCATGGTAAGCAGCAGATCCCCCAACCTCCTTCCCGAATGGAGGCAGGCTAGGAGCTGTCCCCTTGGCGGACCCCTCTGCCACCCACCAACCGTCACAGAGGTCCAGCAAGCCAGGGCCCCCTGCATTTCCGGAGAATGACAGAGACCTTCTGGCCCATCCTTCTTCACTTTACAGATGAAGACCTGAGGCCCAGATAGGGCTGTGACTTAATGAGGGTCACACAGATACTGGGTGGCACTCAGGGCTGGGAAACAGAACGGGTCTCCTTTCTCTCTGCCCGTTTTCTCCATCTCTGGAGAGATCTACAGCTGTGCAGCCCAGAGCTCCGCTGCGTTTTCTATGCTGCACAAAATTCTGGATGGCGGGGACCCCTGGGCAGGCTGGAGGGAAAGCCCGTAGTGGCTGGGGCGGGAACTAGCCCAGCCTCAGAGCGCCACCTGGTGGTATGCGCACATATGCGCGCGCGCACGCGCACACCCCCACACCCCCAACCCACCCACTCATGAGAACATGTGTGGGCTTGATAGTGCTGGTGCTGGTGTTGATGGTGGTGAAACAGGCCAGCTTGCACAGAGCGCTGTCCGTGCCAGCCCCCATGGTCACCACTGCCCATGCGGCTCAGAAGAGTAACTGAGAACCGGGGCTGAGACACAACTGCCTGGATCCAAACCCCAATGTGGCCACTTATTACCTGGTGACTTTGGGCAAATTACCAAAGATTTCTGTACATAGCATTCATATCTACAATTAGGGGTTAAGTGAGTTCGCATGTATAAAGCACTTAGCATGGGGTCCCCAAGTGGCTCAGTGATGAAGAGTCCTCCTACCAATGCAGAAGACAGGAGACTCAGGTTCGATCCCTGGGTTGGGAAGATCCTTTGAAGTAGGAAATGGCAACCCGCTTCAGTATTCTTGCCTGGAAAATCCCGTGGACAGAGGAGGCTGGCGGGCTACAGTCCATAGGGTTGCAGAGTTGGACACAATGAAGTGTGCACACACACACGGTGCTTACACATAGGAACAGCTCCCTGAGGGTTAGCACTGTTATTTCACATGACTCCCCGAGTGTTCTGGGAGGTTTGTGCTGTTATTATCCCACCTCATGGGAGGGAAAACTGAGGCTGCCCCGTCAGTAAGTGGTGATGGGGATTCTGACCCAGACATTCAGCGGCAGGTCTGAGGGACCAGGAGCAAGGAGGGAGGGACTGGGCATGTGCGGTGCTGGAAGGCAGCCCTGTACCGTCTCTCCCACCAGCCTGGCAGCTGCCCGCCGCTACTACTTCGAGGTGCTGCACAAGCAGAACGACCAGGGCACCGACCACGTGGAAGTCGCGGTGAGTGCTCGCTGTCCCCTCAGCCCCCAACTGGCCACGCCTCTGCCTGCTCCTTTGAACCGTGTTCCCAATCAGCCACCTCCAACCCTTCACGTCCACCCTCCCCTCTTCCAGTGGCGGCGGAATGACCCCGGGGCCAAGTTCAGCATTATTGACTCTGCTTCCCTGTCCCTCTTCACAAGTGAGTGTCCTACCCAGCCTGGGGATGAGGCCAGGTGGGCCAGCCTGCTGGGCTCTGCCCACTGGGGGGCCTGGCATGGGGAGGCCAGAACACGGATGTGAAGGGTGCGGGACGAGGAGCAGAGGCCAAAGGGATGCCATGGTCAGAGCTCCTTAGCCCTCAGGGTCAGTGACCTGGGAGAACCCTCTGCACGCTCTCGGAGTCCTCGCCCCAGAACAATGCCCATCCACCCCAGACAGCATTGTCTGCATGATTCCAAGGGGCTCCAGAGACTGTGAGGCTCAGTCCAGGTGAAAACACCTCGGAGGGAGCCAAGCCCCTACTATGCAGATGGGCCGTCATGGTTCTTGCACAGCTGTGGCCAGGGGAGAGAAAGCATGCTGACGCGCGTTCCGACTGCAGCCCGTGGACTCTCTGATGACACTCGACACGGCTTGTGATTTCCCATCTGGAGGCCCCGCAGAGCAGTCTCCACCAGCGGGTGTAACCGGCGTGGGCCCAGGTGTAGGAGGAGCGGGTGCGCCAGAAGCCCTAGCAAGAAGGGAAGGCGGGTCTGGAGGAGCCTGGGAGATAGCAGGCAGTGTGTGTATGGCAGTCAGGAAGGAGTAAGAAATGGCACATTTGGCTCACAGAAGAGGGTGGTCGTGGGGAAGAGATAAGGTGGGTGGGGGAGGCTGCCAGCGACCAAGCAAGAGGCCACAGGGTCAAGGCAGAAGGGCCAGAAGAAGGGAGAGTTGGAATCAGTGTGAACCAAGAATAAAGAAGCCCACAGCAAATTCAGGTAGGAAACCTATAAATGGGCCAGAGGTTCCCAGCCTGCAGCATAGAAGGAGACCTCTCTGTGGGCCAAGGCAATTGAACCCTCAGACAGAGAGCAAACACCTCTGGAGGCCAGAGGGAGGTGCTGAGCTGGGAGTCTCAGAGTGCCCTGCTCACCTGGGCATGGGCTTATCCTAAGCCTGCTGGGGAGCCTGAGGCAGACACCCTGCATTCACACTCAGCTTTGCCAGCCTGTCAGCTGGGTGATCTCAGGCACAAGACTTCGCTTCCACTTGCGCGAGTCCCTTGTCTGTCAGGTAGGACTCATGATGTATTTAAGCCAAAGTGATGACGAGGATTAAAGGGGTTGATATTTGCAAGACATTTTTTTGTCTTACAAATATTTTAAGAACAGTGTCTGGCTTATTATGTAGTAAGTGCTCTTCACGTATTTGTTGAACTGAACATACTTCTAAGGACAGATTTCTAGCAGGTGGCAGTAAAACATTTTGAGCAAGAGGTGGCTTTTTCCAGTTCACACAGAACTGTGGTGTATGCCAGCCATGGGGCTGGTGGAGGGGGTCCAGGGGAGATAAACAGCTGAAACCACAAGTTGTGGGGGCACGACTCAGGCGGGCAGGGATTGGGCACATCCTATACAGTATTGGGCCTCCCTGATGTCTCAGCATGTAAAGAATACGCCTGCAATGCAGGAAACACAGGAGATACAGGTTCGATCCCTGGGTTGGGAAGATTCCCTGGTGGAGGAAATTGTAACCCACTCCAGTAGTCTTGCCTGGAGAATCCCATAGACAGAGGAGCCTGGAGGGCTACAGTCCAAAGGATTGCAGCGTCAGACACAACTGAACAACTAAACAGACACACACACACACATACACACACACACATACGGTACCAGGTTGTGGGGCAGCTGGTACCAGAGCCTTGACCTGGCCCCTTCCTGGCCCCTCGAGAAGGCAGAGGCCTGGCTTCTGGTCTGGCTTCTCCGGGAGTCACAGCTGTCCTGCTCTTTCCTCCCTCGGCCCAGATGAGACCCTCCTGAGGATGGACGAGGTTGACCACATCCCGCATACAGCAGCCAGCCACGTGGGCTCCCCAGACCCGCTTCCCACTGACGAACAACCACCCGCCGACATGCTGCGGCCCGACCCTCGGGACACTCTCTATAGAGGTAAGACCTTGCCACGCACTTGACCTCCGGCCTGGGGATGTATTGCCAGGCCCATGGTGTCAGGGAGGAGACTCGGGAGGCTTCTGTCCTGCATAGTGTCCCCAAACCAGAGCCTCTTTGCTTTCACGTGTGTGAAATAGAACACATGTACAGAACAGTGCAGAAATACAGACGGACTGCTTCACAGTCATACCGATCATTATGGAGCAAACATGACAGGACAAGATGTAGAGCCTGAATCCAGACATGCCTCTGCAATCTCAAGTATCAGTTTCTTACTGGATTCTAGCTCTTGTCCGGTGAGAGAAGTATGTCCCCACTAAGGTGTTGGCATCTTAAACTGTTGGGGGCATTTACATCTTAAAAGTTGACGTGGGCTTCCCTGAGGGTCCCGTGGCTAAGACTCCTCGTGCCCAATGCAGGGGGCCTGGGTTTCATCCCTGGTCAGGGAACTAGATCCCACATGCCACGGCTAAAGAGTTCACACACTGCAGCTAAGACCCAGAGCAGCCAAATAAATACTTTAAAATAACAATTACACCCCCCCCCCCACCATGACAAGTGGAAGGAAATTCGGTTACTGACGCTGCACTCAGGTGAGACTTTGTGGCCTCTTGGAAGTTTTGAGAACTGTTTTGAGATTGGCCATATACAGCGATCCCAGCATTCTACTGTTCCTTGAGCCAGGGACTGTGTCCAAGCTCCAAGGTGCCCCGTGAATGCCACCCCCACCCTCGAGGGGGGCCAGCTTGGTTTAGCAGCCTCAACCATCGGATGTGGGCTCTCTCACAAGCAAACACAGACACGTGCAGGCTCCAGGCTGCAGCCCGCAGCCCTCAGCCACCTCCTTCCACCCCCCAGTGCCTCTGATCCCCAAGGCTCAGCTCCGACACGTCTTGCCCGACTGCCCCTACAAGCCCAGCTACCTGGTGGACGGGCTCCCTCTGCAGCGCTACCAGGGACTCCGGTTTGTAAGTCTCGCCTGGGCGACGGGCTGGAATGGGAGGGGCTGGCTGAGGCTGACCTCCTCCTCCCCACACCACACCGCTGGTATTCCGTGGGTGCCCAGCCTGGACAGGCAGCCCTGCGGAGCCCGGCGCTGTGCAGTGTGTGTCCTGGCCGAGACCTCCTACCCTCTGCCTGAGAGCAGTGGCATTTATTAAACTATAGACGAGGCACTAGGGGGTGAACTGTGGAGGGGCTTGGCTTTAGAGAACCCAGAGCCCGTGTGGAGGCCGAGAGGCGGGGTGATGCTGGGCTCCTGGGCCCAGAGATGACGGCGGGGGAGACTGGAGGCAGGACAGAGGGCCGGGGGCAGCTGTGGGGCAGGGTTGAGAGGGTTTTGGTGGCCGTGTTAGAGCTGTGTTTGAAGGGGCGCAAAAAGCAGTGTAGGGAGTAGCAGGGGTTGGTCCCAGGGTGCAGGAGGCGGCGGGAAAGGCTGCAGGAGGAGAGGTGGGTGGTCTCGGCTGAAGCTGGATGAGCTGTGGCAGAAAACGGGAAGTGGGCACTGGGGAGCCCGGCTCGGGGCACGTGCCACCCAGGCCCCAGGAGGGGGTGTGAAGAGTGGCCGGAATCCAGAGGCTTGGTCTACAGCAGCCCCGTGCCTTCCTGCTCCCCCGCCAGATTCACCTATCTTTTGTTTACCCCAATGACTACACCCGCCTGAGCCACATGGAGACCCAGAATAAGTGCTTCTACCAGGAAAACGCCTACTACCAAGACAGGTGAGGCGCTGAGTGGGGGGAGCCAGGAGAGCTCCCTGGACCAAGGGGGCTGCGAGGGCGCTCCACTGAGGGCCTTGGCTTTTTCTGGGTGCTTCACACACACGTGCGCGCGCCCACACCCATATATGCACACATGTGCACACACACTCACATCCCTCTCCCCTGTACCCCCCACCAGCTGTGACCTCAGAGCTCCCCTCCTCCCCACTGCAGGCTCAGCTTTCAAGACTACATCAAGATTGACCAGCCTCAGAAGCAGGGCCCAGAGCAGCCAGGTACAGAGTGATGGCCAAGCCTCTGGGCCAGATTGGAGGGTGACAGTCCAGACTGGGCCAGAACCGCCCCCAGGAGCTTAGAGTGCAAACCCTGCAGCCCCTTCCCCCAGGCCTAAGAAATGGGGAGCAGCCCTTCGCCCCCTTAATTTCCAAGACACAAGTAGGGACATTTCAAAAGTGGGGTGGTCCAGAGGAGGAGATTCAGAGCCCTGGCGGAAGTGCCCTGAAGGCCCGAGGGCCTTGCCTGCCCTGCACTTAGGAAACTGCCCTACAGAAACACTGTCCTCCCATGGCCTCTCACCTTGCAGGGTTGGGGCCTGACCCCGGCCATTCGCTGGGCCCCTGCTAGCACTTTCTGTCCCTCATGTCACCACCCTTGACAACAACCCTTTATGCTGATGGAGACGCTGGGTTAGTTGAGGCTGAGTAATTCACCCTGGGTCTTGCCGGGGACCCCTGCCCATCTCACCTACCTGGTCCTCAGCTGTCTTCTGGATCTTGTTGGGGAGAGGTTGAAAAGCCCATGTGAGGGATGGTTTTAACAGCAGGTTTCGAGGACGGCCTTCTAGAAGAATCCCAGTATGGAGAAGTGGCAGAGGACACCCCTACCCCTGATGGCCAGAATGCCAGGATGCCAGCGGGGAAGTCAGACCCCCCCACAGCTCCCCGGCAGGATACCCCTGACCGCCGCCTCCGAAACCTGCGGAGACTCCTGGCTCGGGCCCTGGAGGGCCTGGCAGCACCCCCTCCCTGGCAGAACTCCACAGCCTCCCTCCCCATGAGGCCCAGTGCCGCCCCTGCCCAGCCAGCAGATAAGAAGGCGAGGAAGCCCAGCCTTGAGCCCCACCAGGCTCCGAAGCATCCTGACAAGTGGCCTCTGGGTCCCCAGGCCGGGCGCTCGCCTCCAGCGAAGAGGCCCAGGCCCCCCGGTGCCAGTCCTGGGAAGATGCTAGGGCGGTCCCAGTGGCTGAACCAGGTCGAGTCGTACATCGCAGAGCAGAGAAGGGGTGATAGGATGGAGCCTCCGGACCCCAGGAGGGACTGGCCTGAAGAGCAGGACGTGGTGGTGGCAGTAGCCGGCCAAGAAGGACAAACAGACGGCGAGGCTGAGGGGGAGGACGAGGGGGAGGACGAGGAGGATGTGAGCGAGGTGTTGGAGTACCTGTCCATGTTCGACCCGGTGGTGAACTGGGAACAGACCTTCAGTGCCCACGACCTGGATTTCCAAGCACTGCGGACAGACTGGATCGACCTGAGCTGTAACACGTCGGGCAACCTGCTGCTTCCAGAGCAGGAGGCGCTCGAGGTCACGCGGGTCTTCCTGAAGAAGCTCAACCAGAGGAGCCGGGGGTAAGGTAAAGGGCTCTCTGGGGCCGGGCGGGGAGGGGCACCTGGGAGGATTCGTGCCTTTGGGTCTTGGTCCCACCGTCGGGCAAGGTCTGAAACCCTCAGGGCCTGGCCCTGGGCACGGGCTGAGCTCTGGGAAGGCGCTCGTGCAAGGAACCGGTAAAGAGGTGGAGCTAGCAAAACTGGTGCTAAAAAGACACCCTGAGACCCCAGATGTGGGCTGGAAGGGCGGCAGCAGAAGGCACAACTTGGTTTTTTTCATTCATTCATTTATTCAACCCACTGATATTTTTCTACTTCACATAAAAGGCATATATCATTTTAGGAGTGTACAGTTGAGTGGTTTTTAAGTATATTTAGGAATGTTGTGCAGCCACCACCCCTATCTGATTCCATAATGTTTTCATCACTTTTAAAAGAAATCTGGTTAGCGGTTTACCTCCTTCCTCCCAGGCTCTGGCAAGCACTACTCTGCTTGATCTCTGTAGATTTGCCAATGCCAGATGTTTCACACGTGTCTGGCTTCTTTCACTTAGCAAGTGCTTCCAAGGCTCATGCACATTGTAGGATGTATCAGTGCTTCATTTCTTTGTACAGCTGTGTAATATTCCACTGTCTGGGTAGACTACATGTTGTCTGTTTATTCATCAGCTGATGGACATTTGAGTTGTTTCCACTTTTTGCTCTTATGAATGATACTGCTATGAACATTCATGTACAGGGTATTTGCGTGACCCTGTTTTCAGTTCTCCAGGGTAAATTCCTTGGGATTGAATGGCTGGGTCATAGAGTAACTCTAGGTTTAACATTTTGAGGAACTACCAACTCTTTTGCAAATCATCTGTACCATTTTACATTCTATCAGTGGTCTATAAAGGCTCCAGTTTCTCCATACTCTCATCAATTCTAATTTTCCTTTTTTAAAAAAATAGCCATGCTAGTGGATGTGAAGTGGTATTGCACTGTGGTTTTGATTTGCATTTCCCTAGTGAAACTCCAATACTTTGGCCGCCTGATGCGAAGAGTTGACTCATTGGAAAAGACCCTGATGCTGGGAGGGATTGGGGGCAGGAGGAGAAGGGGATGACAGAGGATGAGATGGCTGGATGGCATTACCAACTCGATGGGCATGAGTTTGAGTAAACTCCAGGAGTTGGTGATGGACAGGGAGGCCTGGTGTGCTGCGATTCATGGGGTCGCAAAGAGTCAGACACAACTGAGCGACTGAACTGAACTGAACTGAGTGATTAGTGATGTTGGGTCAACCAGTCAGCATTTCCAATCGTCTGTTGTGTCTTTTCTTTTAAAATTATTCTTTTATTAGCCATATATATTTTTAAAAAATTATTTATTTATTTGTTTTTTAGCTGTTCTGGGTCTTCGTTGCTGCATGCAGGCTTTCTCTAGTTGCAATGAGCAGGGGTTGCTCTCTAGCAGTGGCACACAGGTTCAAGAGTTGTGGTGCATGAGCTTAGTTGCTCTGTGGTATGTGAGATTTTCCAGGATCGAACCTGTGTCCCCCACATGGGCAGGCGGCTTCTTAACCACTGGACCACCAGGGAAGTCCCCCTTGTGTCTTTCGCACTATTGACTGAACAGAGCTGCATAGTAATGAGGGTCAGTTTCTGAAGGAATCTCTTCACTATGACTCACGGCTCCACCTTCTGTGCTGAATACTTAGGGTCTTAGAGCTCTAAGAGACTAGCTCATCCATCTCTATGGATCCTTTTTTTAAAGATGATGGCAGTGCTCACTGGGGCGGGTAAGCATCGTGTGTGTGTTAACCAGCCGTGAAGCTGGGCAAAGCCCGGGGTCTCCTGACACACGGGGTGGAGTGACAGAAGCCCCCCACCCTTCCTTCCAGGAGGTACCAGCTTCAGCGCATTGTGAATGTGGAGAAGCGGCAGGACCACCTCCGCGGGGGCCGCTACCTCCTGGAGCTCGAGCTGCTGGAGCAAGGCCAGCGCCTGGTGCGGCTCTCCGAGTTCGTGTCCACGCGCGGCTGGCAGGGCGCCGATGCCGCGGGCGGGAAGGAGGCTGAGGCCCGGAACCTGCAGGGCCTGGTGTGGAGCCCACATGACTTCCAAGGGCACGTTCCGGGTGCCCGGGCCCCGGAGCCCAAGCTGTGCTGGCCCCAAGGCTTCTCCTGGAACCACCGCGCCGTGGTCCACTTCATTGTGCCGGGTGAGCCTCCCACTGCCTGGGCGCCTTCGACCGAGCAAAGGCCTTGTGAGATTGCGAGCACCTGGTCTCTGCTCCCCGACGTGATCTCATGGAACCTGGGGGAAAGGCCACTTTGGGAAACTGGGGCTCACGGGAGAAAAGTAACCGGTCTCAGGTGACTTGGGCCATCAGGGCGGGAGCTGAGAAGGACAGCTGACCGGCAGCTCTTCCCGTGGAACCTGCATGCAGGGTTGGGTGTGAACAATGGGCCGGGGCTGCTGGCCTGGAACAGTGAGACAGGGAGGGGCTTGGGGAGCGGGCTGGCTGGTTTTCACAAGGAGAGAGGGAGAGGGGAGCCGGTCACAGGAGTAGAATGGGTTGGAGGGGGTCAGACAGGAAGTGCAGGTTGATTGTGGGATGGACAGCTGGTGGGTTGGACTGTCAGGGCCCAGGAGGGTTACTATGAGAGCAGATGACAAGCCCCAGCTCCAGGCCTTCTGCAGGGCCCCGCCAGGGAGGCTGTGCAGGGAGGGGGTGGAGAGGCCCCTGTACCAGGAGCTCTCCTCCTGCCCTCCGACCCCCATTGCCCTGCTGACCTTTCTCATAGCTGCATTGCCCTAAGCAAAGGTCCAGTGGGACTCCTGAGCACGCAGGACCAGGAGTGGAGGGCACTCCTTTGCATTACTCTGCTTCTTTCTCTCCACCCGCCCTGCCTGCCCCTCTGGGCAGTGAAGAACCAGGCGCGCTGGGTACAGCAATTCATCAGAGACATGGAGACCCTGTCCCGGGTCACCAGTGACCCACACTTCAATATCATCATCACCGACTATAGCAGTGAGGACATGGATGTCGAGATGGCCCTGAAACAGTCCAAGCTGCGGAGGTGAGAGTGTTCCCAGTGGGGTGCAGCCTGAGGAACCTCTTCCTGAAGTCCCATCAGTGCCCTGATTCCCAGTCTAGCTTTTCCCAGAGGATTCACCCACCCAGAGTCCCATCCCAGGAGCCTGCATCACCTCTATGCTGCCCGCCAGCTTCCTCCTGGGACCGTCACAGCTGGGTCTTGAGGCTCAACCTCTCTTTTGCTCTCCCTGCAGCTACCAGTACATGAAGCTAAGTGGGAATTTTGAACGCTCAGCTGGACTCCAGGCTGGTGTGGACCTGGTGAAGGTAAGCGGCCTGAGAGGGGCCCGGGAGACAATGAAGGCTGGTGAAGAGATCCTCAGATGGCCAGCTCCTTGGGGAGAAAGGCACAAGACACATGGTCCTCTCTGCTACTCTGCAGGGCCAGGGCCAGGGTGGGAGCATTTGTCCAGAGTCCCCAGCATCCACGAAGACAGTCAGAGTTCCCTTTCTGATCACGAGAACTGTGCCCCAATGCCCAGGGCTGTGGAAATCCATCCAGCACTTTATTTCATGCAAGCTTGTCAGTCACTGAAATGGGAGAGAGCCTGAGGATGGCCCTAGAGTGTGCTGAGCTCCTCACCCTGGTCTAGGGGGACTGCTGATGTCCCCATCTGTCCTTAGGACCCGCACAGCATCATCTTCCTTTGCGACCTCCACATCCACTTCCCAGCTGGCATTATCGACACCATCCGGAAGCACTGCGTGGAAGGCAAGATGGCCTTCGCCCCCATGGTCATGAGGCTGCACTGCGGGGCCACCCCCCAGTGGCCCGAGGGTGAGCCTGCCCTGGGCTTGGGAGGGTACGAAAGACCTCTGTGCCTTGGTGCTTAACCCAGAGCTGGAGACAGTCCTGGGCACCCACTCTCCATCCCTTCCCTTTCCCTGTCTCCGCTCACCTGGCTGCCCTGCTCACCTGGGCAGACCACGAAGTGCCCCAGGGTTGAGCGGAGGGCAGCGGCAGCAGCAAGGCTGAACACTTCCTGCCACATCTTCCCCTTCATTTGTTCATCAGACATTTACCAAGCACTTTCTATGTGCCAGAATGTGTGCCTGCGGATGATGCAGGGATGGGAGGTTTCCTGCCTGGAGAGGGAGCCAGGCATGGCTGCACCCTTGGGGGCTGCTGTTGTCAGAGCCTCCTGGGGCCTGTCACCAGCGCTTGGTCCCTCCCTGGGGAACTGCTGCCTTCCCTGGACCTGGAAACTTAGCTCAGAGGGCTTTCCCTACAAACAGAAAAAGGGCTCATTCCGATGAGAATCTTCTGCCTCCCAGAAGATACTCTAGGGGTGAGGACCCCGGAGCCCCCTCGGTCCACCTCCTGGCCCCGGTTCAGTTCCCCCGGGGCTTGTCTGTCTGCAGGCTACTGGGAGGTGAACGGATTCGGGCTGCTAGGCATCTACAAGTCAGACCTGGACAGGATCGGCGGCATGAACACCAAGGAGTTCCGAGACCGCTGGGGCGGAGAGGACTGGGAGCTGCTGGACAGGTGACTGGGGAGGGTCCTGGGGCAGGGGCGGGGCTAGAGCCCCCCAGGTTCAGCCTCCTTGGCCCCACTGGACTGGATTCCTTTCCTTGCTGAGTCTGAGCTATTGGAGGGAATCCTGCCTCTGCCTGTGTGGCAGGGCGGGCGTGGAGGGTGCTTGGCAGACTGTTAGGGAAGGGCACAGACTCTGAGCTCTGAGGGTGTGAATGGTAATGTTGTCCCCTGGGTACCTCCCTGCCCACCTGGGAGAACACGGCTGGGGAGGAGGCCGGGGTTTTGGGGGGTTGATGAGAGAGTCGGCACAGGGTCACCATAACAGCCAGTGTGGACCATTAAAAGCATCGAGTATCCAGGAGGCTCTGGGTCCCTAGAACCCCGAGAGAAGGGAGTTTTGGGGAAGAGGACAGGCTAGCAGGACACAGGGAGAGGGCATTTCAGAGTGTGTGGGTGGTGAGGAACTGGAGGCTTAGTTTGAGATTCCTCCTCAAAATTTCTCAAGAAATTTGCTGCCAAGGGGAGGAGGGGGAAAGTGGATGACACCTGGAGATCTGAGCTTTAGGAGTGAGGGTGAAGGAGAGAGACAAGGAGAATCCAAGAGAGAAAGGATGTCATTGCTGATGCCGCATCCAGAGGAGGTAGATGGGGCAAGGTCAAGGGCTCCAGGGGGAGGGGACCCTGCTGAGGAAGAGACACTCTTCTCCCTGGGAGACTGGGCACCTCCTCACCGCCTAGTCACTGGGCACCTGCCTGGGCAGGCGATGGACATCCTCCACCCCCTTCTTAGTGGACACCCTCCATTCCCCAGACCCCGGGAGGGACGTGTGGTCATCTCTGGTTCCCAGATGAGAAAACTGAGCCTCCAGGAGAAGTTAACGACTTGCCCCAAATCTCTCAGCTCTGACTGTCTTGAAAACCTGATCTGAAAACTTGAAAATTGGATCTGTTTGATTTCCCCCCTAGAGGGCAGGCAGGCAGGCAGGAAGGTGACAATACTAAGAGAATTTAAGGTGCAAACGAGGGTGGGTGAGGGAGCTTGTGTTAGATAATACAGCTCCCATAAAGCTCCACGGTCAGACCCCAAAGCGGTCAGACCCCAAAGCGGAGAGAAGCCTGGTGTTACCTCCACCTCTGGGGGAAGGCAGACCTCCACAGTTCCGCCTCCTCTGAGGCCCAGAGAGTGAGAAACTGCTCCAAATTCCTGTTACTTCCACCTGCTGGGAACACAGGCCTCCCAACAGACTATGTGACTATGTGGGTGGAAAGGGGGAGGTGGGGGAGCTGGGACAAGGTCTGCTTCCGGACTCCCTCTCCCTCCATCAGACAGGGTGGAGGGACCCCTGCTGGCTGATCTCCAGGTGTGCTGAGCACTTGGGTCCTTCACTGATCCTTACCGCATCCACCACTGTATCCATTTACCCTTTCTAGGGAGAGAGGCTCTGAGACACGGCCCAGGCCGTTTGGCTCTCTTTGTCCCACCCCTGCCTCATGGGAAGCAGCCAGGGCCTGGTGGGGCCGTGGAAGGGGGCTGGCCCTCCCCCCACTTCCCTCGGTGCTTCTGTGGCTCATCCCACCCCCCTCCCACCCAGGATCCTCCAAGCCGGCCTGGAAGTGGAGCGTCTCTCCCTCCGAAATTTCTTCCATCACTTCCATTCCAAGCGGGGCATGTGGAACCGCCGCCAGATGAAGACGCCATAACCCTGGCAGGGGTGGGGCGCCCACTGGACTGATGGCTTCCAGCACCTGGACCGCAGTGGCCTGGCCAGTGCCCACTCGCTGCCGGAGTGGGAAGGGAGGGTAGCAAGGGCCGTGGTGGGCCCGAGCAGCCTCCGAGTACCCCCTGCCCTGGCGGCCGTCCTCCGCCTCTGGGCCTCCAGGGCCAGGAGACTAGACAGAGGCGGCAGAGTTCTCAGGAAGGGCAGCGGGACCAGGTTGAGGGAGGCGAGCCCAACCTGGGCAGACCGCACTGACCAGGAGGCACCTTCCAGGGCCCACCCGGGGCTCCTCGGGGGGGCAGTGACCATGGACTGGAAGCTCTTCTATTGGGCGAATTTTATTGGGGTTTTACTTTTTTTTTTAATAGAAAACCAAAACCACACATGTCCAGACCCAGCATAGACTGTGAGGGGGGTGGAGTTGTGCATTTAGGAAGGGCACCCCGCCTCCCCCTGCATACCTCAGACTCACAGGTGCGTCCCTGGGCCCTGGGGAGCTGGCCCCACGTGGAGCTGTTCCCAGCTCCCCTGCAGGTCCGTGCCTCCGGGACACACACACCCTCCTAGGTAGCCAACCGACAGCTGGCCACGGATCAGGGCATTAACCTCACCCTCCAGCCGCACTGGCTCCAGGCTGGCTGGAAGCACAGAGGGGACCAACTCCTCCCAGTGCCTCAGGGGTTGGGGGCCAGGGAACCAACAGGGGGCGGTGGGCTCCTGGCTCCCCCGTGCAGGGCGGACATGCATCACAGGTGAGGGAGGGGGGCGGGATGGCAGGGGCGAGAAGCCCCCTTCTGTCCCAGCCACCTGTGAGCTGGGCCTTGGGGACCACATGAAGCAGAGCGGGGAGAGGATGAGGGGAGGTGTGAGGTCCGGGGGGAGGGATGAGAAGGGAAGCGGGAAGCCTGAGTCCTCCCAGCTCAGCCCCTCCTGCCGCCCACAGGGAGGAAGAGGAGAAAGACCCTCTGAGCTGGGGAGCGGCCCCGGGGGGGAAGGTCTGGGGAGGTCAGGCAAGGGTGTCGTTCTGTCCACAGAGCCGGAGCAGGACTGAAAAGTGAAGCCGTTTCAGGGAGCACAGCCCTCGGCCTCTGTGGCCTGGGGCGCCTTTTCTGTCACCTAGATCTCATCGCACATTTCTCTTGCACTAATGATCCCAGGCGCCTCTAGGCTGGGGATGTTTCTACTGCTGCTGCCTTCTGCGCTGCTCTGACTCACCACCAGTGTGCTGGACGCGGCCTCGCAAAGCCCAGCATCTGTGAGGAAGGGCCCGGAGTGGGTGTGGCGGGGCCCGGGGGGCCAGCCCGCTGGGCAGCCCAGGCTCGGTGTCGTGAAGGAGTCCAGGTCTCGGTGTGTGGAACTGCAAGTCCGCCCGGTGGGCCCCACGCTCACCCAGAGCATGAACTTGGCCTCCGGGAGAATGGAGCCCCGCGGGAACCTTCTGGACGTTGACGAGAACCCCTGCCTCCCTCCTAAGAAATCAGGAAGGACATGGATTTTTTGGTTAATAGATTGTGGCTTGTGGATGCTCCATCTGCCCTCAGGCTATGGCCTTTTATGGCCCTGGCTCACACGCCGTGCCTTCGGAGAAGGGCTGTAGGGAGTGGGTGAGAGCTGCGGCTGCCTGGGCGGCCAGGTTTCTTTCTGGGGCTACTTTTATCCCTGGCGTTGCCCAGCAAGGCCTGAGTCCACCCAGATGGCCCTCCTGCTTCACTCCTCCTGAGGACAGGTGTCTGCCCAGCCTCCCCTCCCCGGCCTGCCACCCCCTCTGCCCCAGCCAGTGCCTTGCATTCTGTGTTTGTTACCTCCACACCATCTGCCTTAATGGAGGGGGCCTGGCATGGCCCCTACTCGGTAGGGAAATGTGTAGGGTGCGGGGAGGGAAAGCGTTAAATACAGCATCTTCTCAGAAAACAAAATGCCGTCGTGTCTTCCTGTTGCCCATCGGGGTGGGAGAGGCTGGGCAGAGGGCCCAGGCTCACGTGGCCATCCCTAAGTTCTGAGGCCTCTGGTGGACATGCCAAGGGTGCTCCATATTACCCTTCATCACTTGTATGTCTGTGTGTTGGAGGGGGCAGCCTTCCCTGCACTGTGGTTTACTCAGGAACGGGACCACGATGTTCCTGTCTGAGGAGCATTTTTTGTGCAATAGATTCATGCGGGTTGGAGCTTTCAGTTGAGAAACGTTGGTGGACACAGGAAGGTTGGATGAGGAGCTGAGGTGTGGCTTATTCTAAGAGAGCAGACAATCGAAAAGCATCCGTGTTTGAGCTGGGCGTGCCCTGTTGATGCATTACAGTACAAAGGTACCATCCTGGTTCTATCTGATCTAGGCAGAGATTGAAATTAGTTTGTATTCCTTAAGCACATGCCCAAGAGAGGGTGCTGCTGTGAAAGCTGGGTTGGCCAATTTGTTAGTCACTCAGTTGTGTCCAACCCTTTGTGGCCCCATGGACTGTAGCCTGCCAGGCTCCTCTGTCCATGGGATTCTCCCGCCAAGAATACTGGAGTGGGTTGCCATGCCCTTCTCCAGGGCATCTTCCTGACCCAGGGATAGAACCCTGGTCCCCTGCATTGCAGGCAGATTCTTTACTGTCTGGGCCACCAGGGAAGCCCAGGGGCAGCCAATTGGAGGTTCTCAAAAAGCATCCAGAGCAGACTGGTCTGCTGCTAATGCAGCAGATGGTAATTATCCTAGGCAGGGAAACCTGACTCAGAGCAGAACCCAGAGGACAGGGAGTGACTTAAAAGTCTTTTCCCCCTCCAGGCTTGGGGTTGCTCCTTTGAGCCATTTCCAAGACACAGATGGAGACAGCCAGCCGCCCTCCCGGGTGCTTGAACCTTCACAATCGAAGACACAAATATTGACTCACGGTGGATCTGCAGAAAGCTTTATGGAGAGAAATCATTCCATCCTACAGAAAAGAGAAAACAGGCTGGAGCAGAGGGAAGGAACAGGGTGGGGTCAGAAGCAGAGTCCTTAAGCTGGGCAGACACAGCCTTCCATAGGCACGCCAAGGCCCAGGAGACAGGTGGGTGGTACTGGAGTCAGCTCAGGACTCCAGGCCGAGATGACTCCACTTAAGCCTGGAGAAGAGCCCGTCTTTGTTCCGGTGCCGAGGGTAAGAAGCAGGGATGTCTACACTGCCCTCCAAGTCTAGGAGCTCTCCCTGAAGCTGTACGCTGTGCCCTTCAGCCTGGCAGATCAAGGGGGAGAGAAGGAAGCAGTTCCAGGCCAAGCACCTGTAGGGGAAGTAAGGAAATGAAGAGAAGGCCAGGCCAGACCAGCACCTCAGGCCCAAGTGTCATACAGTCCCCCTGGCGCCTTCCCAGGGTGCAGCTGCGGGTTCGGATCCGAACCTGAAGCAGGGCCCGAGGCTCTGTGCTGCTGGCCGGCTCCCTGTGGTCCTGTTGACGCTGTCAAGAACACCAGAGTCTCCCTCTTCCCCCACTAACCGCAGCCTCCACCCTCCTGGGCTGCAGAGAAGCTCAGCCTAGGAAGACAGAGCACAGAGGACTTTGGTGAGTCCCAGCCCATGCTCCGCTCCAGGACCTCATCCCTGCCCCAGGTCTACATTCTTCCCCTTCTGCCTGGCAAGCATCTCTCTCAGCCCAAATCCGCAGAGGTGAGAAGGGCCACCTGGGCACCTCCCATCTTCCCTCACCTGGGCTCCAGGCCATGTTCAGAGAGGGGTCCCAGCAGCCAGGAGCCTAGTGTCGTGTGCCCCGAAGGCCGTGATGAGGATGTTGACGATGACAGTGATAAAGATCAAGGCGGTGGCCGTATTGTTGAGCTGGTTGAGTCGCCACTGCTTTTCTACTTTGTTGAGGTTCAGTCCAGCTATGGAGAAGAGGGAGAAGCAAATGAGGGCCTGGGGTTGGGGGGACAGCCTGTCCAGGTGGGGACAGCCTGGAGCTTCCCCCACCACAGCCCCTTAGAGATCAGGAGTTGGTGGCCAGTGTGCTGAAATGTCTTCTCCCTCACTGACCATGTGGGGTGTCCACGCCACCCACACCCATGTGGGGTCAGTACTCAATAGAGCCGACTTTGGAAACTTACACTGGGTCTTCTCAGAGTGGGGAATGCACGCTCTAAGGAATGCTGCTACGAGTTTGAGCACAGTCATTTACCAGGCATTGTACTGGCTACTAGATGGGATGCCAGGAGGTAGATCAGGGTGCCTGCCCGCACTGTGTCATTGCTACTTGGGCACTTGAAGGGCTAACAGCAGGTGAGTGTATGACTGTGGCAGGGAGGCATTCGGGACTTTTCTTCCCACCCACCCCCGGAGGCCAGCTCCAGACCCGGGCTTCTCACCCATGACCACGAGGAGGATTCCGATGACCGCCTGCAGGAGCAGAGAGATGCTAAGGAGGGTGACAAGGGCGGAGTAGTGATGGGAGGACGGACCCTGATCTAGCACCACTTTCAGCTGCGCAGTGTTGGACATGAAGAGTGCCATGTCCAGCAAGCTCTCCGCCAGGCTCTTCTTGGTGGCATAACGGTTCAGGTTGATGGGTCGGCTCCTCCCTGGGCTGGGGCTCCCAGGCTGTTGAGGACAAAATACAGGCTTACTGGGAAGGCTCCAGAAGGGAAGTGGTTGAGAGGCTGGGAAGGGGTGTGCTAAGTCGCTTCAGTTGTGTCTGATTCTTTGTGATCCCATGGTCTTAAGCCCCCCAGGATCCTCTGTCCATGGGATTCTCCAAAAAGAATACTGGAGTGGAGTTGCTAATCCCTTCTCTAGGGGATCTTCTCAACCCAGGGATTGAACCTGAGTCTTCTGCATTGGCAGGTAGGTTCTTTACCACTTGCACCACCTCTGCTTTCCCCTGAGAGGAGAGGGTCGCAGAAGACAGGACGAGGAGTTCTGAGGCTGGGTGGGAAAGGAAAAGGCATCTCTCCTCCCAGAATGATGTGGGACCCAAGGCGGGGTGCAGAGTGCCACAGATGGAACGGGAGCTGCGCGCTTGTGGGTCCTGCTCCAACTCGACCTCGTGGAGACCCCTGGAGCCGCAGCCCTGCTCGGGCACACACCCCAGTTGTCATACCTGGCCCATCATACACACACGTCTGTGAGCACCATGCACACAGCAATGCGGGCCGGTCAAAAGCTCTTCATTTGTTTGTTATTACTTTTTAGCTAGAATTTATTGATGCAAAATTTACATCTGATCTGCTTTTGAAATATTAAGATGAAGTTTTATTCTCAAGAAGCCACTTACTCTGAAAGAGAGGGTCACAAGCAGGGCTGTGGGGTCAGGGGGCAAACTGAATGCTGCAGGCAACCTGCAGTCACTCAAAAGAACTGGAGTGCGTTTTGAGGCGATTCATTTAGGATGGCGCTGGGGATGGATGCATGGCCTAATGAGGGCCCAGAGCGGGGGAGACACGTTGAAAGATTCTGGTCCCGCAGGGCACCGTTGCCCCGTGTCCACGTGGTGGCGCTCGGGTCCAAAGGAGCAGTTTGGGCAGCAGGGGTGGGGACGCTGGCGGGGAGGGTACAGGTTGGTGTTTCTCCCCGAGGAATCCGCTGACAAGGCAGGGTTGGTGTGAAACCTGGACCCACGGAGGCTAGGATGGGAGCCGGTTCACAGGTCTGCCTCGGCTGACCTAAAACCCACCAAAGGTGTGAAACGGGTAGAAATGACCCAATGCTGACTTGGGTGGGCCGGTCACCCTGCAGGGTAAGGACTGTGGTTAGAGGACAGAAGGCTGAGAGACCCAGGGAGGCGCTGCCTAGAAAGGGGTCCCCATGACAGTCATGTCCAACTCTTTGTGACCCCATGTACCAGGCTTCTCCACCAGTGGGATTTTCCAGGAGTAAAAGAGTACTGGGGTGGGTTGCCATTTCCTTCTCCAGGGGATCTTCCCGACCCAGGGATTGAACCCGGGCCTCCCGCATTGCGGGCAGATGCTTAACCCTCTGAACCACTGGGGAATCCCCCAGAGCGGGGGAAGAGTTTTCTTAAATTCCTCTGGACGGTTTAGATGCAGCCTTGCCCTGAGGCAGAGGGATGGCTGAAATGACCAGAGGGGGCCCTCCCTATGGCCTGAGGGTCCGATTGGATGAACCCCCGAATCCTGATGGATGCCCCCCTTCTGTTGACAGCTGGGAGCCCAGGAGCGACCCCTTCCCCCCTCCCCCTCCCAGCCCCGCCCCAGCCCGCGGCCGGTGGGCGGGGACGGCCGCAGGGCGCGCGCCTGCCCTGGGCGCTGGTCCTTTAAGGCCGGGCGTCCCGGGAACAAAGGCCCGGCCTGCGCGCACCGGCCTGAGTCACTTAAGTTCCTATGCCCGCTCCCGCGCCCGCGCCCTCCCCGCCCGGCCCGGCCCCTCCTTGCCCCTCCTGCGCCTAGGAGTCTGAGGAGCGGCGCGGTGGGCGCAGGCTGCCCGTGGCCCCTGTATTTGTCTGGCTCCTCTGAGCGGGGGCCGGGGCCTAGGCGCTCCGCGCCCCCCCCGCCCCGGCTCTGGACCTCCCACTTTGGGCCTCAGTTTCCACACCCACAACCGGGGGTGGGGGCGGTATATCATTCGGGAGGCGTCCGAGTGAGGCGGAAAGAGTTCTCCGAGTCTCGTTTTCCGCATCTGAGGTCTGTATCACAGGGATCCCTGCCCCTCAGCGTATGTCTCAGCCCCCCTCACCTCCGCCCTCGCGCCCTCACTGTTCCTCCAGGATAGGCCCCCCAGACCCCGGGGTCCTCCTTAGAGATGCGCAGCCCCCAGCCTGCCCACCGCGCCGTCTGAGCACCCAGGCAGGTTCTGCGGACACGAAGTGGGGGCCGGGCGTTTTCGGCGGCAAGGGCACGTGGGTGTGGAGAGCGGGGGTGGTTAGACCCCGCCCCGGGTCGCGGGTGCCCCACGCCGCCGCCGCCGCCGCCGGGCACAGCCGGGCGCGCACTCTTCCTCGCCCTGCCCTCGGTCCGTTTCAGACTGCCCTGTCCCCAGCCCGCTCGCCAAGTCCAGCTCCCCAGGCTGGTGTGGGTTCCAACCCTTGAAGCGGTGGACTGCTCCATTGTTCCTCCAGACGGTTATTTATCCCTTAATCCTTGCTGGCCTGTATTTTTGTTTCTTGAGGAAACTTGGGTTGGATAGGAAAGGAATGCCTTTTTGAGCAGAAAAGTAAATACAGTTTTGCAGTTGCTTATTGACCCAGCACCTGGGTGGGCTTCCCTCGTAGCTCAGTAAACAATTTGCCTGCAATGCAGGAGACCTGGGTTCGATTCCTGGATTGGGAAGATCCCCTGGAGAAGGAAATGGCAACCTACTCCAGTATTCTTGCCTAGAGAATCCCATGGACAGAGGAGCCTGGCAGGCTACAGTCCATGGGGTCGCAGAGTCAGACACAACTGAGTGACTGAACTGAACTGTCCATAAAGCCTTGATAAAATAATAATGCACAGTGTACAGGATAGATGATTTCTTGTGTCCCTTCCAAGCCAGGGCGGTCTAGGTGCGGGGAAGTCCCTTCTCTGAGTGGAGTCTCAGGGGCCGGGGATTTACCCTCCAAGAGGCAGAGTTCAGGTGGCTGGGCACCAGGTCAGGGTCAGAGGCCCTGAGTCACTCACCCTAGGCAGCTCCAGGGCAGGGACGACCCTCCATTGAGTCAGTCGACCCTGAGAAAAGCCACATGGCAGTTTCCCTGGGGATCAGCTATAACACGGGGCATCAGACACAACAGGCCCAGAGGAGCCGTGGCCTGATGGCCCTGTGTTGGCCTCAAGATGCCTGACTACCCAGAAAAGCCACCTGGCAGGAGATGGCAAAGAGCCAAGCTGGTTTCAAAAAAGGGAAAGGCGGATCCTATCCCAGGAAGAATGATTCCTTCAGGTGTGTGGATTGGGGCGACCTACTATGCCAGCTCACCTTTAATGAGGTGCTGTAAGGCGAGTGCAGAAAAAAAAAGAGCAATCCGGGCAGTCATGCAAGAAAAGGGAAAATTATTAGAGGGAAAAGAGAGGGTGACTGACTCTTAAGGAGAACCAGCGTCTTCCCTTTCTGACAGAGTCCTTCTTATACCCTGCCAATGAACAATTCTCCAAAGGGATGGTCATGTAGCTGGAGGTCTGGAATCTGGTGGTCTCGCAGCTTTGAGAAGATAGGCGCCAGCAAGATAACAGTCTGCCATTTGGGCAATTTGGTCAGTCTCAAGGATCACTGTGATTTATTCTTTGTTTGCAAGGTCAACATAATGAGCCATCTTAACAATGAGCCCCCATGTAGACCCTATCACCTGTGAGCCCTCAGCCTCTGTTAGGGTTAAGTGTGAAAAGGTGCTCGGGTCTGTCCTACTGTGGGCATGCACAGTAGGCCCCGGAACTGGGGATGACAACAGTTTCCTCTTACAGATTACAGACCTTGTGCCTGACTCAGCTAAACACAGGACATGAGTCATCTTACCCAGTCCTCACACAGTCCAATACAGTTGGTCAGGGCACCCTTAGGTTGGTTGGTCTGTCAGTTGCTCAGTCGTGTCTGATTCTGCGACCCCATGGACTATAGCCTGCCAGGCTCCTTTGTCCATGGGATTCTCCAGACAAGAATACTGGAGTGGGTTGCCATTTCCTTCTCCAGGGTATCTTCCCCACCCAGGGATTGAACCTGTGATTATTGTAGTTGAAAGAAACGGAGGGTCTCCGAGAACCTAGGTAACTTGTTCAAGGTTTGGCAACACAGGTTTAATGCCAGTTCTCTATTTGCCAGAGCCTGTAATTGTAACTCCTACACTTCAGCCTCCCAGAAGATAGACTCCCAGCCTCCAAGGAGTTTAGGATCTAAAGATAGACTCATGTGGCTTCAGATGAAAGAAGACCGAACGTACACTTACTCAGGGGAGGTATAATACCCCTCCAGGGGCGACACTTGCCTTGGGCTCCCCTGGTCACAGCACGGCTGTGTCCTGAGCCCCTGCAGAAAGGGCCCAACACCCATAATCAAAAGGCTAGAGTTCACACTGCTAAGAGGTGACACGGGCAGCTGGGAGAATAGGGTTGACAAAACTTTCATTTGGATGTTTTGGGTTTTGATCCCTCTGAGTGTTTCAGCTGTCATAAAACAACAACAGCCAAATTAAAACACAGTATGCAAGACTTCCCTGGTGGTACAGTGGATAAGAATCTGCCTGCCAACCCAGGGGACATGGGTTCCATCCCAAATCTGGAAGATTCCATCTGCTTTGGAGCAACTGAAGCCCGTGGACCACAACTCTTGAAGCCTGTGTGCCTAGAGCCTGTGCTCCATAACAAGAGAAGCCACCGCAATGAAAAAGTCCGCTCACCGCAACAAAGAGTAGCCCCTTGCTCAATGTAACTGGAGACCCAGCACAACCAAAAGTAAATACATTATTTTCAGAAAAAGAAGTATGGACCCCAGGAGGCCAATAATTAATATAAAGCAGAACTTATAATTCTGTCTCACCCAGGCCCCAGCTTCTCCATGTGTAAAATGGGAAAAATAGGCCCTGGTTAGCTCAGAGGGCTATCCAAAAGATCAATGAGATAACCTGGGTGAATGTGCTTTGAAGACTGAAGCCTTAGAGCAAGGAGATGAGAGGGAAGTCCCTCCCACACAGGCCCACACTCCCACCTGTGGGCGGAGAGGCATCTGAGTGCTGGGTTTTGACTTGGCCAGGCCCCGCCCACACTTAAAGATTCGCTTTTGTCATCTCAGCAGCCCCTCACACCCATCTTTGTAATGGTTCCGCACCCAAGGGGGGCTTCCCAGGTGGCACTAGGGGTAAAGAACCCACCTGCCAATGCAGGAGATGTAAGAGACGTGGGTTCGATCCCTGGGTGGGGACGATCCCCTGGAGGAGGGCATGGCAACCCGCTCCAGTATCTGTGCCAAAGCCCATGGACAGAGGAGCCTGGTGGGCTACGGTCCATGAGGTCGCTAGGGTCGCCAAGAGTCAGAACACTTAACACTCACACACGCCCATCCCATCAGAAACCTCTTTCAGGGCGGGAGGTTCTCAGACAAGCCCACCTACCCGGGGTTCCCTACTGTGCAGACCTGACTCCCCCACCCCACCCCCTGCCTGGCTGGCTCCCATCTCCCTCTCCAGCCCTCCCTCCCGGGAGGGGCCGAGACTCACCCTCCTTCCTGGGCCACACCACATGACTCACTGAGCCTGAACACACCCCACCCTTCCGCCAGCCCTACTCCCTCCAGGATTGAAGGCTTTTCTTCCCTTGCCCACCCCCCAACCCCACCCCCAGGTCAGCCCTCCCTTCTTAGACCCTCTTCTCCAGGAGGCCCCTCCAGTGCTTGCTTTCCTGGGGGGAATGCATCTTCCATGTTCCTGGGCGCCCGGCTCAGTGGCTTGCCCACATTAAATGCACAATAAATGATGACAGCATTGATCTTTTTTATATGAAGGATTTACTTCAAGGAATTTTTCCAGAAAAGGCAAAAAAAGAAGGGATCTCTGAAGCTGGGGTTGCAGACCCAAGAACTGCTGGGTGAGGGGTGTGGTGCTTGGACAGTGAATATCAAACTGAAGCCCCTGGCCCAGGGGCAGCCCTTTCTCCTGGCCTCAGGGAACCAATGACTCAGGCTGGCCGCTGCCACTGGCCTTCAGGCCAAAGCCCGCACAGGCCTGGAGCCCCGAGGCCTGCGTCTGGGGCCGGCACTCAGCCTGCTGCCTTGCTGTGCCAAGCACAGTGGGTCTCGCCCTTAAAAGTCAACAGTCTGTAATCCACCGCGGGTGGGGTGTCCGCGGACTGTTCCCGTAATAACACCCAACTGGTCCAGAAGTCTCCTCTCAGGCCGGGGGCGCAGCCTTGCGAGGCGCCAGCCCTCCCCCAGGTGCCCGCTGGCCTTGCTGCCGGCGCTCCGGGCTCGGGCCGCTCAGAGGCCGCCCCGGGAGGGTGTGCAGCGCCTCCTCGTCCGCCAGGGGGCGGCAGCGCACCGCGCGGCCGGGCCGGAGGGCGGCTGATCCCGCTGAGGTGAGCTGCCTTTCTGACAAAAAAAGGGTTAGAGGGACTTCCTAGCGCTTCAGTGGGTATGGCTCGGAGTTCCCAAAGCAGGGGGCCAGGGTTCGATCCTTGGCCGGGGGACTAGATCTCACGTGCCGCAACTCAGACCCAGTGCAGCCAAATTACTCCCCCACCCCGCCAAGGTTCTATGTGGATTTGCCAGACAGAAACTTCCAAAGAAATTCTGCAGGAGTTCTTTCAGAATAAGCACGTTGCTCCGGGGCTTCGAGACCGGCACTTTGCTCCCGGCTTTGGTGTTCTTGGCAGCATTCCCCAAGCCTGCCTGACCCACCTCTGCTCATGGTGACCCTGCCCCATCCTTCTAGGACCAACACGCTGGCCAGAATTTAAACAATGATAACCGAATACTGAAAATGCCGTATACTGGGCATGACCCCCATGAAGTGGGTTTTTCTTTTTTTTGGCCACACTAAGTGACTTGCAGGATCTTAGTTCCCTGACCAGGGACTGGATTTGGGCCCTTGGCAATGAAAACCCAGAGTTCTAATCACTGAACTGCCAGGGAATTCTTGTGAAGTGGGTATTAACAGACTCGTTTTACACGTGAAGATATTGAGGCTCAGAGATTAGTTGCGCAAAGTCGCCAGATAATAAGGGACAGTCCTAGCTCAGAACCCTATACCTGAATTCTCTTTTCTGTTACACACCTGTGGTTCTACAAGTGTGGTCCCTGAAGCAGGAGCACCTGGGCACTTGTTGGAAACGCGGATTCTCAGACACCACCCTAGACCTTCTGAGTCAGAGATGCAGGCTGGAACCCAGCCATCTGTGTTTTCACAAGCCTCCAGGGGATTCCGACACGGCTAAAGTGTGAGTGCCGTCCATCTACTCCATGCTACCACGCTGAAGCTGGCGCTTCACATGCCTGCCACCGTCTAAGCTCTGTGCTAGACCCTTCCTTCCATTGACTGTCCCTGGATTCTTTTAACAACACCCATTTTACAGACGAGATGGGTGAGGCTTAGAACAGTTCAGTCCTTTTTGCCCTGGATCACCCAGCTGTTGATCTTAAGAGTTGGGATTTGAACCCAGACAGGCTCTAGAGCCTGTGTCCTTAACCACTACAGTCTTGGCATGCATGCTCGGTCGCTCAGTCCTGTCTCTTTGCAACTGCATGGACTGTAGCCCACCAGGTCCTCTGTTCATGGAATTTTCCAGGCAAGAATACTGGAGTGGGTTGTCATGCCCTCCTCCAGGGGATCTTCCAGATTTAGGGTTTGAACCCACGTCGCTTGCGTCTCCTGCATTGGCAGACGGGTTCTTTACCACTGAGCCACCTGGGAAGCCCATTATAGTCTTTAGTCCCTGGAAACCCCTCAGAGGTGTACCCTAGTCTGAAGGATGCAGAGGGAATCTTCCCAGCTCTTCTCACGGAACAGGGAGTAAACCCAACCCTGCGTCTGGCTCCAGCTGGCAGCACAGACAACCAACCCCAGTTCCCAGTGCCAGGTGCTGCCCACCCTGTTTATAAAGCCTGACCTGATCACCCTCAGACTGTCTTCATGTCTTCACTCAAACATTTACAGAACCTTTCTTGGTTTTGTAGAACCTTAGATTTTGTGGTGGAACCTGAGTCCAGATGGGAGACAACACACCGGTAAGTGAAAACAACTCTCAGAACAATTAATCATAAAGCAAGTAGGTTCATCAGTGCCGTTTTGTAGATTCCATATATGTGCATTAATATACAGTATTTGTTTTTCTCTTTCTGACTTACTTCACCTAGAGTGATGGGAAGGGGGATGAAGGCTCAGGAGGGAGGGGAGATATATTTACATACCTATATATGTGTGAGTGTGTGTGCTCAGTCCCTCGGTTGTGTCTGACTCCTGTGACCCCATGGACTGTAGCCCACCAGGCTCCTCTGTCCATGGGATTCTCCAGGCAAGAACCCTGGAGTGGGTTGCCATTTCCTTCTCCAGAGGAATCTTCCCAACCCAGGGGTCGAACCCACGCCTCTTGTATCTCCTGCATTGGCCGGTGGACTCTTCACCACTAGCACCACCTGGGAAGCCATTATAAACCACCTGTATATATATATATGGGCTTCACGTGGCTTCAATATGGCTAATTCATGTTGTACAGCAGAAACCAACACAATATTGTAAAGCTGCTATCCTCCAATTTTAAAAAGTCATAAAGCAAAATATCAACATTCCACACGCCGGTGCACCTTAATTTTGTACCTTCCCACTGGATGATACGTTTGCAGCACTTGAGAATTATTTCCTTGGAACCTCAGGCAGTTAGAAGCCGCGAGGGCTGTGCCGACAGTCCCTGGCCGCCATCCAGGGGAGCAGACCTCATCGGGAGATCATATCTGACACGGAGATGGGAAAAGGGAAGGTGGTGAATTTCCCACCCCACCCAGCCATAAGCAGAGCCTGCCAACATGTCCTCAGTTCCCTGGCATGTCCAGAGATCCCCGCCTCTCCCATATACCCCTGCTCCCCGCATCCCCTAACATGACAAGGTTTAACAGAGAATCAAGTGCCTAAAGGGGGAAGCAGAAAGGGAGATAGCAGGGCCTTTTAGTCCCACCCCAGTAGATAAGCTTCACGGGAACAAGGACTTATCTGTCTTGCTAACTGCTGTGTCCCAGAAATCGGCGCCTAGCCCAGCACACTGAATGACAGAATGAGGGCTCTGTCACCCCTGTGTTCATTCAGAAGGGGCTGAGGAGGCAGGACCACCGAGCAGCGCTCCCGGGACCTCCCGCATGGAGCTCTCTGCGGGGACAGGAGGTGGTCATCTTCCACGGGCGTGTCCACTCCTGACGTGGCCCTGGTATGACTTCACAGCCTCTGTGTGTGTGTGTGTGTCCACTGTCTCTGGGGTGAACTGTGCCTGGTGCCGGCCCCGGACAGGCAGGCGCAGGGCAGGAGATGCTATTGTTCTCACTGCTGTAGCCCAGCTGCCACTCCAGGCGGGTGAGACCCAGAGAGTGGGCACTGGGTGCCCATGAATCAAAGCCAGTGCACACGGCCCTCAAGGTCAGCCAGCCCTGGGGCCTCTCTGGTGGTCCAGCCGTTAAGACTCTATGCTTCCACTGCAGGGAGCAAGGGTTCCATCAGTGGTCAGGGAAACGGAGATCCCTTAGAGGCTGCAGAGTGTGGCCAAAAAGTAAAAAAAAAAAAAAAAATCAGCCATCTCTGAGTCAAATGCCCCCTTGGGCCCAGCGCCTAACTGCCCCAGCCCCAGGAATCATAAGCTCTCCCCCAGGCCCAGCAGAGCTGAGCCATCTTCCCTCCTTAGGATCACTGCTCCCGGCCCCAGCTCCTGCAGCCTGAGCAGAGGCTCTGGTGTCGTGGGCCAGCGTCTGAAAGAGATGAAGGTCAGGGGATGGGCGGTTCTGCACTTGGAGCCAGGGCTGCCGTCTCTTCCCCCGGTGACCTCAGGCAGCTTGCGAGACCCTCTGCTTCCCAGCCTCCTCTTTGGCAAAACGAGAGGATGCCAGCCCTTCAGCTCCTTTGTTGTGAGGAGCTAGTGTGTGATTAAAAGAGTGAGCCGCTGCTGAACTCGGTCAGACTCTCAGCTAAAGGGCCATGGAATCCCCAGGCCCGTCCTCACCCAGCCCCCCGGGCTCCTCGGGAATGACCCATTGGGGTCACTGCCCATGCGGGACTGCCCGAGCTCCAGAACACTTCACATGTTCAGCCTCTCTTTCCATAACTGCATTTCTCCAGCTCTTATCACATTCCAGGCCCTATTCTAAGCATGCTTATGTGTTATCTCAATTCCTTCTCATAGACCTTAAGAGGGGACATGCAGGTTTAGAGAAATTAAGCAACTTGCCTGAGGTCACACAGCTAGAGACAGGGGAGTTGAGGTTTGAACCCTGGTCTGTCTGGAAAAAGTGGAAGCAGTGACAGATTTTATTTTCTTGGGCTCCCAAATCACTGCAGTTGGTGACTGCAGCCACAAAATTAAAAGATGCTGGCTTCTTGGAAGGAAAGGTATGACGAAGCTACACAGCATATTAAAAAGCTGAGATATCATTTTGCCGACAAAGGTCTGTATAGTCAAAGCTACGGTTTTTCCAGTAGTCATGTATGGATATGAGAGTTGGACCCTAAGGAAACCTGAGCACTGAAGAACTCTGGTGCTGGAGAAGACTCTTGAGAGTCCCTTGGACAGCAAGGAGATCAAACCAGTGAATCCTAGAGGAAATCAACCCTGAATATTCATTGGAAGGACTGATGCTGAAGCTGAAGCTCCAGTACTTTGGCCACCTGATGCAAAGTGCTGACTCATCGGAAAAGACCCTGATGCTGGAAAAGATTGAGAGCAGAAGAGGGTTACAGGAGATGAGATGGTTGGATAGCATTGCCGACTCAATGGACATGAGTTTGAACAAATTCCGGGAGAAAGTGAAGCATAGAGGGGCCTGGTGTACTGCAGACCATGGGGTCGCAAAGATTCAGACAGAACTTAGCGACTGATCAACAATAAGAACTGTCTGATGCCAGAGTTCCTGCTGTTAACGTTATTTATTTATTTTTACAAAGACTTACTGCCGATGAGGAAACCATGCTCTTTTTTGTTTTTTTTTTTTTAATATTTATTGGCTGCCTTGGGTCTCAGCTGCGGCTTGCAGGCTCTTTAGTTGTGGCACTCAGGCTGAGTCACTCCACAGTATGTGGGATCTTGTTTCCCTGACCAGGGATTGAACGTGCATTGGGAAGTTCTGTAAGCCTCTGGTCAGCTCTTGTTCTTTTACCACCTTCGTGGAAGGCCAGTGCGTGTGTGTGCTAAGCCGCTTCAGTCGTGTCCGACTCTGTGGCCCCGTGGACCGCAGTGGAAGACCAGAGCCCTGAGTAAATCTTGCCTCTAGTGCCCAGCTGAGTATCTGGCCAGCAGTGTGTGCTGAGGAAGGGAGGGAGAATGGAAGGAAGGAAGGAGGAAAGGCAGGTGGGCGATTGGCCCTGCCCTTAACCACCAGCCGGAACCCAGGCTTCAAGCCCCTTTCCACTGCCCAGGGTGATGCGCAGACAGTGAGGCGGTTGCTGGGTCACTGCTGTGCCCTCACTTTTTCTAAAAATACAGAGACGATGAGCCCTCCGAGGCCACCAAACAGATCTCCAGCTGCCCTCTGGGGCCAGTGCCTGCCACCGGGCACCTGCTCACTCTGGGCCCCACCNTGAAAGCGGGTTGCAAGCTTTAAAGGGCTTTGCAAATGTTGGGGGTTCTTACCTTAATATTTATTTTTATTTATTTATTTGGCTGTGTTGGGTCTTAGTTGCAGCACTCAGGATCTTTGACCTTCGTTGCAGCATGTGGGATCTAGTTCCCTGACCGGGGATGGAACCCGGGGCTGCGGCACTGGGAGTCTTAGCCACTGGCTGGACACCAGGGAAGCTCCAGTGTTGGGGGTTCTTAACACTCCTTCCTGCAGGGCATTTAGGAACTGGGACCCCAGGTATGGGGAGGGAGTAAGTCTTCCAACTCTGCACGAGGAAACCCCATATATCAGCTCTGCCACCCTAGGGTTACCCATCCTCACCAGGTTGGAAGGGGAGAGAATTACGGTCCGATTTGTGTGATGCCCTGGTTGAGGATGGGCATGGCCATGGAGTGGGGTGCCCCAGCCTGCTCAGCGCGTGAGTCAGCAGCACTGATTGAGCGCCCACTGTGTGCAGTGCCCTGTGCCCTGTCCTGAGAAGATAGCTCTGTTTGCTTTCCTCAGTCAACAAGTGTATCGAGCATCTCTCTGTTTTGAGGAAGTCAGAGTACAGAGGGCGTGGCCTGGAGGTGGGGAGCCTGGGCCGGGTTACAGAGGGGGGTGGGTGCCACGTGGGAGAGAGGAACAAAGAGGGAAAGCAGGGGACCACCCCTCTGGGGAGCCTGGAGGAGCTCTTGTGGACTTAAAGGCCATCGCGGTTGGATCATGAAAGACGAGAAGAGTCCTCCAGAATGTCCTTCGTCTGGGGGGGGTCACAGAGCCCTGCCTTGGGAAACGGCTTCCTAGGGGGAGAGGCTAGTGGACTGTTTAAGTGGTGTTCATGTAACCCCGAGGGACCCCTGGTACAAAATGTAGTAAGAATTTCAAGATGGCAATGGCCTTCAGCCAAGCACAGGGCCTTTCTCTTTTTTTTTTTCAAGGGGGGGCCCTTCTGAGCAGCCCCTTGAAGCCAGCCCAGCCTGCTCGCCTGCATGCTTGCTAAGTCACCTCAGTCGTGTCCAGCTCTTTGCGACCCTATGGACTGTAGCCCACCAGGCTCCTCTGTCCATGGGATTCTCCAGGCAAGAGTACTAGAGTGGGCTGCCATGCCCAGCCTGCTCGCAAGTGCAGGGAAAAGGCTGAGGGATTTCTTTCTCTGGGAGGACCACCAGCCTTGGGAAGCCCAGTGACTCTTCACAGCATCTCGGGTTAAGGTTGGGCTCCAGAGGCGAGCTAACCTGACCAGATTTGGTTCTGTATTTAACCCTTCCTGTTGGTGGCTAGGGATGTGTTCTCTTCTCTAATGGTGCCCACGAGGCTGGAGGCCCCAGGCTCCCTTCCCAAGTGCCTGGACCGGGGAGCAGCAAAGAACGCAAGCACACACGCCTTCAGGGGTGGACATGGCAAGAGATGCTTCTGAGGGAAGTGCTGGCCTC